AACCATACAGATATGGTGCTGAGGATCAAGGTCATCTGCTTGCCAGCAAGCACTCTATCAGCTATATTATCTCTCCGGACCCCATTGTTAAGGGTTTAATAAAACCACCCACCTGACCATATCACTCTCCCCACTCAGCTGAAGAGTCAAAGTTCAAAGTTCTGCCACTACCTTGATTTGGGTTTTTGGGCCACATCCAGAAGTGCTCAGGATTCATTCCCAGAGCTGTTCAGGGGAGGATGCAGTGCCAGGAGTTGAACCAGGGTTGGCTACATGCAAGGCAAGTGCTACAGTTCTTGTACCATTTCTCCAGCCAATGCTGGAAGGGTTTTGTTGTTTTTGCTGTTGTTGTTTTTGTTTTTGTACCGCACCTGGCAGTGCTCAGCGTTTACTCCTGCTCTGGGTTCAGGAATCATTCCTGGTGGGCTCAGAGAACCGTATGGGATGCTGAGGGTTGAACTTCGGTTGACTGTGTGCAGACAAGTGCCTAATCTCTAAAACGATCGCTCCAGCCCCTCAACAGGACTTTCTTTTTTTTTTTAACCTATTTATTTATTTATTTTTATTTATTTATTTATTTATTTATTGAATCACCGTGGGAAAGGTTACAAAGCTTTCAGGTTTAGGTCTCAGTCATGCAAATATCAAACACATTTCCCTTTACCAATACTTATTTTTTACCATGAAGAACCCCAATAAAACCCCACCCCCCACCCCTCCCAGTCCCTGTGGGGCAGATGAATTCTAGTTAACACTCTATCTGCTTTGATTAGATTCACTGTTTCAATAAAAGATTCACCACTATTATTTAGAGTTTACCCCCCCCCCCCAAATCAGACATGCTGAAAAAGCATGTGAAGTGATTTGCTTTCTACAGCTGGGTTCAAGAATTAAATGTTGGTTTTGGATTTCTGCTATTTTACCTATTGACCCTGGAAGTATTTCTACTGAAAGTCAGATAGTTAAGAAATTGGTTTCTGTGCTCTGGAGTCGTGGCCGTGCTGGAGAGCCGCTAGTGGGGGCAACTGGTGGCCTCGGTAGGGCGTGAAGGGCGGACCGAAACGCCCCCCTTCCCATGAGGTTTTAGTCGCCCCCACTCCCCCGGCTCATACCTGCTGTCCACAAGGCTCCCATGCGGCCGCCATCTTTCTTTCCAGAGAGGAGAAGGCGACTGGGGCAACACCCTTTCCCCTCTGGACAGACATGATGGCCTCAACAGGACTTTCTTAATGAAAAAAATATCGAGGAATGTTGTACCAGGCACAAAGGGCACCAGGATGAGCAAACAAATACTCCTTCAGCTGTTTACAGTCTTCTGATACTTCAACACACTCCTTTCCCTTGCCCGGAAAGTGCTTCTTGCCTCTCTTTATTCTGACTTGACCAGAAAATGCCTGTTCACCCATCACACCTCTGATTAACCACTAGTTATTCAGAGACAACCAACCTAGAACTCTTAGTTGGTGTTTCCTAAATATCAGTTATAGAACTGAACACATTTCTCTTCTTCTCCTCTTCCTCCTCCTCCTCCTCTTCTTCTTTTTGTTTTTTTAAAAGCCATTTCATTTGATGTCTGTCCTTGGCCTGGTGCTCAGGGGTTGTTCCTGGTACTCAGGGAATCAAGTGATGCTGCGGCTAATCCCAGGCCTCCTGCATAGGAAGATGGCACTCCAGCCCCTATTTAGGGGAGGCGGATTGAGACCACACTAGTGGTGCTCAGACTTAGTCCCGGTTCAGTGTTCAGGGATCACTCTTGGCAGTGCTCAGGGGACCATAATGTACTGCCAGCAGTTCTAACCAAGAGTGGCCTTATACAAGGCAAGTGCCTTGATCCCTGTACAATCTCTCCGGCCCTTTTTAGTTTTGTTTTTGTTTTTTGGGCCACACCAGGTGGTGCTCAGTGCTCACTCCAGGTTCTGAGCTTAGGTGGGCTTGAGGACCAGATTAGTTGTCAGGAATTGAACCCAGGTCAGCTGCATGCAAGGCAAACACCCTGCCTCCTGTACTATGGCTCTGGCCTCTCTCCAGCCCTTTTTAGATCGTTTTTTTGTGCGCCAGCCCTTTTGCCATCTCCTATTAGTGGTCAGTCCTTTATGTTTGTTTTGTTTTGGGGCCACATCTGGCAGTGCTCAAGGTTACTCCTGGCTCTGCACTCAGGAATTACTCCTCGAACTATATGGGATGCCGGGGACCTAACCGGGACTGGCCACGTGCGAGGTGCCTTAACTACTATACTATCCCTCCAGCCCCAGTGGTCAGGCCCTTTAGAACGCTTGTTCCTGTGATTATTCAGTTAATCCCCACCTTTGCCTTCAGGAGATTCCAGGGGTTTGCACAGCTGAGTTATCACTGGTGCTTAACTAGTCCTGGTTAGTTTACCCCCACCCCTAGTTTACTGAGTGAATAAATGAAACATTGTTGCCATGCAGTATTTTGGGGGGGCTGGTATTGCCTTCAAGGAAAGTTGACCCCTCTGCCTCTGAGACGATGAGTTGGAAGCTTAGCTGTGGACTGGGCGGGGTGAGCACAGGAGCACAGCAGGGAGAGCACCTGGAAGCTGCTAGCCCCTTGCCAGCACCTCACGTAGGAACTGGCCCTGCCTGCCTCTCCCGGTCCTCCTGGCTCTCCCCTTGTTCGCTGCTCCTGCCCTTATGGGCTGAAGCCCCCCACCTGCCACTCTTCTCCCTGCTCAGCCTTCTAGACAAGCTGGGCGTGGTTCCTCCCCACCGTGTCTCTCCTGCTGTGTATCATGCGTCCTCTGCAAAAGACATGCATTATTTTGGGGATTGTTTATTTGGGGCCACAGTCAGCAATGCTTACTCCTTGCTCTGTGCTCTGGAATTACTCCTGGCGTTGCACAGGGGACCATAAACGATGAATGGAACCCGGGTGACCACATGCCAGGTAAATGTCCTACCCTCTGTACTATCACTCTGGCCCCAAAACATGTCTTATTTATATCCTGATATGAGCAAGAAAAACCAATTCTCTCAGCTTCGACTGGAAGTTGCAGCTGGAGCAATAATACATACGCATAAGTGTTCACCTGGCAAGTGGCTGACCTCAGTTCAATCCCCGGCTCCACACACATTGTCCCCCCAAGCACCTCCCAGAGTGCAGAATCAGAAAGAGCTTCAGAGCATTCCTAGGCTTGGCCCCAAAATCCTGCAACCCCCCAACCCCCCCTCCCACACACACACAATAACAATGAAGGAAAATTGTCTCGAAGTTAGCTGGGTTTGGTGGTGGGTGATGTCACTGATGTGCCCGAGGACCAGGGTGACCCCTGCCTTGACACCGTCACCCTTGCCTTTGACTTGTCCTCCGGGCAGGTCAGTCAGGTGGGGCAACCGTTCCGTTCCAGAGCTCACTGTCAGGCTCCACATACAAGCAGCCTTTTCTCCTCACTAGGTCTTAGTAACTGCTCAGCAGACACTGAGAAGCAGGCACCCATTCATTGCCTCACAGTTCCTGAGGGCCAGAGTGGGGAGGTGCAGGACGTGGACCCTGGCAGAGGGTCTCTCTAAGGTGAGAGCTGAACTGTCGGCCAGCCCTGGCCTCGTCTGTCTCTGGGCTCTGCAGGGGCTGTGGGCAAGCGGCCACGTGGGCCTCTGCAGAGCTGAGGTGGCAGCTGCCTTCCTCCAGGGGGAGCGGCCCCTAGCGAGCTGCCCGGGCAGACGCTGCGAGTCTTTGGACCGAGTCTCAACCACCACTACACGGCGTCACTGCTGCTGCATTCCGTGGTGGGTCACTCGGCCCCGCCTGGGCGTGCCACGGGGAGGAGCGGCGACGCAGGGTGAGAACGGCAGGAAGTGAGGGACACAGAAAGGCCATCTTAGAGGCTGGTTCCCACACGGCATGCTTTGGGAAGTGAGGAAGTTTCCCTGAGAAGCTCCACCAGGCTCTTCTGTGGTCTGGAATTGTCACGTGTGACTCATCAGGGGGCTGGTTTATTTCTTTTCTTCTTTTTTTGGCAATGCCCGGGATGGAACCCAGGGCCTCACCTCACACGGAAAGTGCTCTGCCACTGAGCCATATTCCTGGCCCACAGGAGTGTTTGAAACTATCATTTTCTTGTTTGCTTTTGGGCCATGCTCACATGCACTCCTGGTTCTGTGCTCAGGAATCACTCCCGGCAGGCTCAGGGGAACCACAGGGAATGCCGGGGATCAAACCCAGGCTGGCCCTGGACATGGCAGGCACCTACCCTCTGTACTACCTCTCTTTCCTCTGAAACGATCTCACAACTATCCCCTGAAACTTTCTGCTCATCACAACCATGATTCTGCCTCAGGCTGGGATCCACAGGGAAGAGAACCAAATCAGGATTCTGTTTGGCACGGAGGGGCAGGGGTGCTGGGATGTGCTGAGTGAGCAATCCACAGTGGCTGTGATGCTCGCCCACTGGACTGTAAACCTAACAGGCGAACAGGGGCCAGAACTATAGCACAGCGGGCAGGGCGCTTGCCTTGCACAAGGGCCAAGCCACGTTTGATTCCCTGTACCCCATACAGTCCCCCAAGCCTACAGAGTGATGCCTGAGCTCAGAACCAGGAATAAGCTCTGAGCACTGCCAGGTGAACCCTCCCCCCCAACAACAACAATAAAAAACAAGAAACAAAACCAGAGGAACAGGGGCCCAAATGATAGCACAGTGGGAAAGGCACTGGAGTTGCACGCAGAGCCCCGTTCGACCCCTGGCACTCCATATGATCTCCCCAGCACTGCCAGAGTGATTCCTGAGTAGAGACAGGAATGAACCCTGAGCACTGCTTGGGTGTGGTCCAACACAGTAATAATAATAAAAAACAAACAGCTTTTCCTCACAGCCCCACCGCACAGACAAGGCATGCTTGCTAGATGAAGGGACTCAGGTGGCAGGCCACAGGCAGGGGGTGTAGGGCTGGTACCCCCAGATCCCGGCTCCTCCTGCTCTCGTTAGAACTTGGGGGCATGTGCTCCCAGCCCCTCCCCAGCCTCAAGGAGAGACAGGACCAGCAGAGTTTTCTCTCTTTATTTCCGGAGACATTTGATCAGATGCAATAACACTGATTCCAGGCGAGGGCAGGAGGCACAGATCCCCCTAAAGCAACCTGTGGCCCCAGGTGCCCCCAGCCCGTTCCTGGGCTCCCCCTCAGTTACAGTTAAATAGAGCGAGGGAGAGCTACCCAGGGAGTCTTGGGAGGGTCTACCTCCTGCACCCGCCCCTCCACGCAGAGGAGTCTGAGCTCAAGCTATTTACAGTATTCACATCCACCGAACCCCACCGAACCAAGGCAAATACTACGGAGGACCCCTCCTGGCGAGAGGAGGCCCAGAGGCTGAGTGTATGTGTGTGTATGGGGGTGGGGGTGTCTGTGCCTGTGAGCACACAAATGCACTGAGGACAGGACCTGGCTCCTGCCAAAGAGACATCAGTCTATAAGGTGCAGATTAAAAACAACAGAGAGGACCCCTCCCGGGCGCCCAGGCCACTTCCGGCTTTGTTCCGTTTCCTTCTCTTCAGACATCCTGGTAGGTGACACAGAGGAGCCCTCAGCGCTGTGCCTGGAGCCAAGGTCACCCTTTAAAGGACCTCTGAGGGGAGAACAGGAGGGGGAAACAGTCAGGGCCAAACACTGCCCCACCGCCACGCGGTGGTGTGTGGAGGGCGGGGGCGTCTCCAGGGTGGGCTGTGAAGGGGCCTGGGCAGGGGGCCCGGGAGTCAGGGAGCCCCACCTGTGACCTGTGGGGGCTGCACCACGGCTTTCTTGAGGAAGGCTTCTGCCTCCGCGAAGGGCAGGAGCGTGTCTGGTGTGCGGCCCAGACTCTTGTCCCCAGAGGGTCCCTTGGAGGAGAAGCCGTTCTCCTGGTGCGCGGGGAGAGGTTGCAGGCCGTTCACCAGGGACCCGGGCGCCTCCTTGCTCGGCAGGCTGTGGGGGAGGGGCAGACGCTCAGGCCCAGGCACCCCCAGCTCGGCTCTAGGTGCCCCCCCCACGCCCGGCTGGCTGGGAGGGAGGAGGCTGGGGAGGGGGCCTCAGGACTGGAGCTGGTACCTCCACTGAGGCTCCTGGGGAGCCAGAGCCTCCTTCTGTCCCGTTTCCTTCTGCAACTCTGAGGACCGCGACTCGCTGGCTTTGTCAGGGTCTGTGGGAAGGAAACAGGGCCCAGGGGTCAGGGGCTGCACCAGGTGGGGCTGGAGGTTGCACGGGGCGAGGGCTGCAGATGATGGGGCGGGAGCTTTACCTGGGCTCGAGGTGTTGGCTTTTGCCTCCTTTCCGTCCTGCTTCTGCTTTGAAGAGGAAGGACAGTCAGACAGGACGGCGCTCCGGCCCCGCCTGCCCGACAGCTGTCCCCGCTCCCCCTTTCAGCCCCTCCGTGGCCACCCAGGGCGCTGCCTACCCGGCCACCCGCCCCTCCACGGCTTGCCAGGAATCCTGACCTTGGTCTCCGTGGCGTCTGACTTCCGAGTCCTCTTCATGATCTCCTCCAGGCGCTGTGTGGAGGCCCCAGTGTGAGTCAGTCCCGGTCCTCAACCTTCCCCCGACCAGACCATCTGGGACCTGGGGTCCCAGGGCCCCCAGCGGCAGCTCCTGCCAATCCTTTGCGGGCGGGGGACCAGCACTTCCCAATGCATCTCGCCCTGCAGGCGAGCTGCCCCTGCCCTACGGACCCCTTTCCTAGGTGCCCACCGGCCCCCAGCCCCATCTGCCGCCCCCAGCCCACCTTTCTGCGCTCTTGCCGCTCCTGCTCCTCGCGCTGGAAGTGCTTTTCCCGCTCTTGCCGCTGTCGCTCTGCTTCCTCCCGGGACCGGGCTTCAGCCTCCTCTTTCTGCCAGAGACCCCCACCCAGAGCTGTAGGTGCGGGCCTGCCGCCTGCCCGCTGCGCCAGCCCCCAGCCGGCCACCAGGAGGCGCCCGCGCGCAGCCCGCCGCCGCCGCCGCCCCGCACCTGCTTCTGCAGCCGCTCCTGCTCCTCCTGCTCGGCCTGGGCCTTCTCGCAGGCCTCCTGCTCCTCCCGCCTCCGGGCCTCGGCCTCGCGCTCCGCCCGGGCCTGAGCTTCCCGCGCCAGCTGCTCCTCCCGCATTTGCCTGGAGAAGAAACTCCCTCGCTATTGCTTCTGCCGCTTGCTTCCCACGGGGGGCGGGGTGCCCTCGGCCCAGGGCAGGGGTGGGGTGGGGCGGTGGGGGGACGGGGGTGCACTCACTTGTCCCTCTCGGCCTGCAGCCTCCGCTCCTGCTCCTCCCGCTCCCGCTGTTCCCGGGCCTGGCGCCGCTTCTCAGCGAGGAGCCGGGTGGCCTCTTCGCGGTCCGTGGTGCCCGCCATGGGCTTGCTCGGGGTCACCGGGGGAGGCGGCGCTGGGGGTGAGGTCAGCACAGCAGTATCTGGTGTGGGAGGCAACACCGGAAAGTGAACGCAGGACCACCACGACCCAGGGTCCCCTCCCCAGCTCCTGGGGCCAGCTCAGAGAGGGGAACAGGGACCCCCTCCCAGGGCTGTCTCCTAGCACCCAGTCCACAGGCACCTGCTGTGCCCCCATCCCATCGCAGACTATGTCCCCCACTCCCAGTCCCCTTGCCAGCCCCCCCAATTACCCACCTGCAGAGCTCTCCACTGGGGGTCGCTCCTTCTGGGGTGGGGCAGGGGTAGGAGAGGGTGCGGGTGAGGATGCCGGGGAGGCGGGTGACGCTGCCTCCTTCCCGTCGCCAGCCCTGCCCTTGATCTGGTTCTTGTCCTCAGCCCCAGCCACACTGGGGTTCTCCTTGGACTCATCCTTTCTCCGAAGCCGCCCTTTGGGCGATGCAGTGGTGCCCCGGGGGGATGGTGGCTTGGGGGGCAGAGCGTGGCCTGGCCCCGGGCTGGGACAAGGTGAAGCAGGCCTGTTCCAGGATGTGGAGGGAGAGGATGGTCGGGCCTTGGATTTAGGACTGAGAAGAAAGGATTAGGTTAGACCTTGAGGGCAGTGTACACACACACACACACACACACACACACACACACACACACACACACATCTCTGGTATAATTTGTTTGCCACCCCCCCCCATCCTCCCGTGGTGCTTAGAGCTTATTCCTGGCTCTGCCCTTGGGAATCATTCCTGTAAGGCCCAGGGGACCATATGGGATGCTGGGGACCTAACCCAGGCCTGCCATATGCAAGGCAAGCAATCTACTTGCTATATTACCATTCCGTTCCCCTGATATGATTACTAAGCTCAAGAATAAGGGGACAGGGGACAGGGCACACACACGCACACGCACGCACACACACACACACACACACACACACACACACACCCAGTATGATTAAGGATTAAGGGGAAGACCAAGGCCTGCTTTGGTCCCCCAGAGCAGTTCTTGGCAGGCCCACTCATTCTTTCCAACCACTGCTGAGTGCACTACGCACTCGGTCATTTTAATGATCGAAACACTAATATATATATATATATATATAAACTGGGGCTGGGGACATGGTCCAAGAGGTATAGCACTTGTACGTGTGAGCGAGATCTTGGTTTGATCCCCAGGCTGCATGACCCCTCGGCACTGTGGGATAGGGCCCTTGTGGCCCCCCATCACTGCCTGGCGTGATCCTCATAACAAACAACTAAGTATATATTTTAAACATAAAAGGGAACGACTGGAGTGGTAGTACAGCAGGCAGTGTGCCTGCCTGGCATGCTGCTGACCTGGGTTCAATCCCCGGCATCCCATATAGTGGGTGTACCACTCCCTCCCAACAAAACAAAACAAAACATAAAAGGGCTAAGAGAGAAATCAAAGGGCTTGAACACATGCTTTCCGTGCAGGAGGCCTGGCTTCCATCCCTGGCACCTCTTGGCCTCTCAAGCACCGCCAGCAGTGACCCCAGAGTATGGAGGCCAGGAGTTGCCTCGGCGCTGCTCGGTGTGGGCCTCCCCCAGCCAAATTAATTACATGAAAGGAAAGGAAAACATCTGCTCTTGGGCTTCAAGGGCTGAGCTGCACGTTCTCTATGCCGGGGCCCTGGGCTTGAGCCCTGGCCCCCGGTGGTCCCCTTGAGCACAGAGCCAGGAGGCGCCCACCAGCTGTGGCCCCCCAACAAATCATCTGCCCTCAAGGTTTCATTTTAGGGGTGCAGGAGTGAGCGTGCTGCCTGGGCGTGGGGGCGCTTCCCACCTGAGCTCGGAGGCAGAGAGGCGCGGGCGGGGAGAGGCGGGCAGGGACTGGCGCTTCTTGAGGCTGCGCTCCCGGGCCAGGGCGCTCTTCTCCTTCTCGTTCTCCCGTTCCTTGTCCTTCTTCTCCTTTTTCTGCACCTATCGAGGGAAGGGCCCGGCGAGCAGAGGTCAGCTGCGCCCGGAGAGACGCTCGCCCTGGGGCTCGCCCTGGGTTCCCCGCCTACTCCCGGGAGCACTTACCGGCGAGGCCTCGGGCCGCCTGCGCACCAGAACGGGGCTGCTGCCCGCGCTGGGTTTGCGGCGCTCCGCGCGCTCCCCAGAGGGAGCGCAGCGGTGCCCGCTTCGGGGGGCGCTGCAGGGCGGCGTCAGGGGGCTAGCGGAGGCCGAGCGCGGGCACAGGGGCACGGCTGCGGAGGGATGAGTGCGGTCGGGGCGCGGCCCACAGGCGAGGCCGGCCCCTGCCCGGCCCCTGCTGGGGGCTCTCCCGGGGCCGCCGGCCCTACCCTGGTCGCGGCCGTTGCGGGGCAGTGTGACGGCACTGCGGCTCCGTGCCAGGAAGGAGAGGGTGGGCGTCATCAGACGGTCCACGATGCTGCTCTCCCAGGCGCTCAGCTGCAGGCTGCGATCTAGAAGAAGCCCGGGAGAGCGCGCGTCAGCCGCGCCGCCAGGGCCCCGGCAGGCAGGCAGGCGGCGGGGCACACAGGTGCCAACCCGGGCCACGTCCAGGGAGCGCCCCCAGTTACACGGGGCCGACCTCCTCCGTGGGCGCGGGCGAGCGCATCCCAAGGCAGCTTTCTGCCTGGCTCTCCCTGTTGCCAGGGCTCTGAGCTGGGAGTGTAGAAAGGAGCCCCCCAGGGTCGGTCGGTGGAAGGCCCCCTCGCTGCCCCTCCCGGGTGCCACAGTAGGGCTCCCCCGCTCAGAGGGTCTGCCTGGGAATGCATGGCGCAGAGGGTCCTCGCGCTCCTCTGACTCGGGAGAAGCCCAGCGCTTGGCACGCAGTGCCAGGGAGAGGCTGAGGGCAAAGGGCCTGGCTGCCCCGGGCCACCCGCCTCTGTCCCCTCAGCTGCTGGGTTATTTTTAAGCCTCAGTCAGGTGGGGCTGGTAACAGCAGCTGATTCAGTTGCCAGGCAACAGAGCAACCAAATAAACCAGCGCAGAAACTTATAAATAACTCCTCCTGCTGAGCTCACTTGTCAGCCCAGGGCATGGTGGGAAACGCTGGGCGCGGTGAGCCCTGGTGGGCCCCAACTGGAGCTGCCAAGGCCATGGCTGGGAATCCGGAGACAGAGAAGGCAGGGGCCCGCCTCCACACACAGCACCCGGCCAGCGCGGTCCTGGGGGCAAGGCCACCTGCCTGAGGTTAGCTGGGCCAGCTGGCTGTGGTCGGAGCCAGGCAGACGGCCCGTCCCCACCCCCGCCCCGAGCCTGCTAGGACGCTGCCCTTTGTCTCTGTTCCCCTCTCTTGCAGGGCACACCTCTGTCCGCAGGGCCCAGATCCCAACGCCGGCTCCCCCAAGGGGCACGGGCCCCCCGTGGGGTAGGAGGGGAGGGAGACCTGGAATGTGGGTGGCTCTGGGGTCCTGAGCTCTGGTGGGGGCCACAAAGGGCTCTGTGGGGAGTAAGGCTGGGCCTTCTCTTACTTCTACTGGGGGAGTTCCAGAGCGTGGCAGAGGACTTTGAGAGCCGCTTGTTGATTATAGAGTCCACGTGTTTGGGCAGGTTTACTGCCGACACGGAGCACCTGCTCCCACCTGGAGGGGAAAAGACACGGCATTAGGGCCGGGCCGGGCAGGAGCCAGGGGGGCACTGAGGCCTTCCATGCAGGGTGCTCCGCGGGCAGGGGGAGAGGGAGGAGTGGGTGGACTAGGGAAGGGGGGGAGGCAGACTTGGCTCTGGGAGGAAGGGGGTGGTGGGGGACCAGAGGCAACCTGCACTGGGGGAGCCGACGGAGAGGGAGCAGAGGAAGGAGATGGACTAAAACTAGAGAAGCTACTGTCTGCCTGGCCAGGAAGCCATCCCCAGGGGGCCGGGTGGTGCCACCCCACCCCCACAACCACCCCGCACTGGCACTAGCAGCCACGACCCAGCCAGGACGCTAGGACGGCCACGCCAGGGACGGGGACAAATGCAGGGACCGTTCCCAGCCACAAGAACCACAGTCACAAGTCACCCGCACGGGTCCACAGAGTCCAAGGGACACACAGAGACGGAGACATGCAGGTGCAGACACACAGAGAGAGAGGGCCTCAGGGCCACCCGCATGCACACGGGCGCCGACATGCACGGACACGGACACCCACGGACAGACAGACGGACGGTGAGGCAGGCGCGGACACACGCAGGCCACTTGGTGGGGTGTGCACGGCTCACATTTGTTGGGTGCTTACCGTGGACCGGGTACGGTGCAGGGCACCACACACACGTCACCTCACTGATCCTCCCACACCTCTACCTACAATCTCGGAGGCAAGTGGCATGGTTATCCCCATTTTACAGATGGAGGCAGAGAGACACCAACACGCGAGAGCCAGAGCTGGGAGCCTAACCCCGCTCTGTCTGACGCGGGGCGCCCTCGCCGAGGTCCAGCGGGCCACGGACCCAGCAGAGTGAGACACGTTTTTGAGACACACCACACACAGATCCGTGAGCACACATGTCCACGGATACCCAGCTAAGAGCTTCTGAACCTTGCCATTACAGAGAGACATCCAAACCCGGGGGTGCACACATGCCAGCAAAGAATGAGAGCAAATTCCATGACGGGCCACACGACGAAGACCCGGAGGGAGAAATCAACCTTCTACGACAGGCTCATGGTGGTGATGGTGGTAGGGGCGGAGGGCGGAGTAGGGGAGAGGGAATCATTTCTCTCTGATCTACTGTGTGCAGATGGCTCATCAACTAAGAATAATTGGCAGGCGCATTCATTCTGAAAATGGGTTCATTCTAAGAAATGAGGGGTTTGTAGAGCAAATCCAGAGGAACAGAATCCATCTCTGAGTTGAGTGAGGGAGAAGTCCTTGGCAAGGGATCGATGGGTCCACAGATCATTCCAGAAGATAAGTCACATGAAGCAAGGCATACCTGCGTCAGAGCACTGCCAGCTCCGGCTCTGAAGGTGCTCCCTGACCCTCCTCCTCCTACCCCAGCCCTGCACGCTCACCCCAGCCCCGCGGGCCCACTCACTGGTCTTATGTCCTGGGGAGCTGTGGTGCAGGGCGCCTGCCCAGGACCAGCGCTGCTGCCGGATTTCCGCCCAGGTCTTCTTGACTGACCTCTGGATGGCTGCTTCGTAGCGCTCCTGGTGGGGAGAGGCAGGGGAGAGGTCTGGGCTTGCTCGCCTTCCGTGTCCTTGGAGAAAGGTCCCTCTCTCCAGTGAGTGTCCCGCACCCCTCCCCCAGCTTGCCCTGACTCACTGCAGGTAACCAAGATTACCGAACCTGGCTATGATTAAGGACCGTTTGCAACCTTTCCCTTCCAGCTGCTTTGTTTTGGGGGGAGCTTTTCACTATTCTTGAGTCATTTCCTGGGTGTTCTGAGCTCTTTCTCTGAGAACGGGGTGGGGAATCTCCCTGCCTGGGGCTCCCCGGTGACACCCCCATCCACCCCGCTGAGGGCCCTGACCTGGGCTCTGGCTGTAGCCTCCTCTCTGCCTGCCTACAGATGTGCCTGCCAGTTGCCCAGCTAGCTCCGTGCCTAGAGTGGGCGCAGGTGGCCATGTGAAGCGGGAACCGACCAGGGCAGGAAGTAGGCTGACGTGAGCAGTGGGTGGGCGCGCACGCAGGCTGCTCGGCGCCTCTCTGGGTAGAGGGCGCCCCCAAACACACCTTGTTCTTCTCCAGCTTCTGCCGCTGCCGCTCCTCCAAGGCCGCCCGGCGCTGCTCGGCCTTCAGCCGCTGCTCCTCCAGCCGCCTTCGGCGCTCCTGAAGCTGCTTCTCCCTCAGCGCCTTGGCCTTCTCCTCCTTCTCCAGCCAAACCGCCTTCTTGGCCGCTGTGGGGACAGGACCCCCCCCGGAGGGCCGGGCGGCGGTGTGAGCGTTTAAACTGCAGCGGGGTCGGCCAAATGTGTCTCCCCACGTGTGGTCCTCCTGGTTGCTCCAGCCCTGGGCAAGACTTGCTCCTACGTGCCCCTCTCGCCCACTCCCCCAGCAAATCTAAGAGCTTTCTTTTTTTTTTCTTTGGAGCAGAGTTTTGGGCCACATCTGGATGAGTTCAGGGATTACTCCTGGCTCTATGCTCATGGGCACTGCTGGCAAGATTCAGTAGGCCGTATGGGGCCAGCGATTAAACCCAGGTTGGCCATGTGCAACGACAGTACCTGCTGTACTATCTCTCCAGCTCTGGGCTTGCTTCCTTCTGGGGGGAAGCGGTTAGGGAGCTTGGGGACACACCCCGCTACTCCTTGGTGCTCCAGCCTTCTGAGCCATCTCCCCTGCACCCAGGGCTTTCTCAACAGGGCCAGGCCTCGGAACAGGGGCTTCCCTGGAGGGGAGCTCAGGTGTGCCCCCTTGGCCTCATGGCATCTTGCCTTGGTGGAGAAATGAGTTCCTTCATGCCTGCTCCCTGCCTGCCCATGGGGCCTGCCGGACAGGTTTCCGTGAGACGACAATTGTAGGTCAGGGATGAGCTGAGGCTTCTGGGTCTGAGTCTCAACTGCTTAGACTGCTCAGACAACAGCTGGGCGGCTTCGCCAGTGATGTCATCTTTCTGAGCCTCGGTTTCCCCACCCTTAGCCTGGGGATTTCCCGAGAAAACACTTCTCAGCACGCCGGTGTCTTTCCTCCCCTTGCGAGGAACCCCAGACTGTAGGGCACCTGGGATGAAGCTCATGGTCTCACCCTCGTCCCGGACGCTTCTTGAACTATCTCTGGGGCCTCCCTTTCTTGCAGGGGATCCTTCACAGCAGAGCTGTTGGGATGGGAGTGTGCGTGTGTGCGTGTATGCGTGTGTGTGCATGTGCGTGTGCTCAACCCTACCATCTGCACTGTCGCCCTGGCCCCCTCCCCGGCAGACACCCCACGGAGTGTCCCCAGGGCGCTGCTGTGCTGAGAAATGCTATGATGAAGGCACTCCAACACTCACCCAGGTACTTGGCCCGTTCCTCTCGCCGCTCCTTGGCCAGCTTGTGCCTCTCTCCTGCCTTCTTTACATCTTCCCCGAGAAAGCAAGAATATATCTAGGTCAGCAGGCTCCTCAGAGGGAATCTCCTTGGGGCTCTCCCACCAGGACACATCCCGTCTCCCTTCCCCCGCATCCCATCTCCCATCTTCTCCAGGTCAAAGGAGCGTCTTCCAGTGGCCTCAGTCCAGGATGTCACCCACCTTGCTTGGCGGGTGGGCTGTCGGCGGCTAGCACTGCTGTTGGGGATGGTTGGCTGCTCCTGCGAGGCGGCCTGGCATCCCGCGGGCCTGTGGCTGGTGGGGTGGACCCTCGGACCTTCACTTCCGAGAAAGGGGACTCTTCCTGGCTGTGAGGCCTCTCTGGGTCCAGAGGGAGCAGCTGCTCGGGGCTAGTGGCATTCTTCATGGCAGGAGGGGTATCCGGAGGAGTGTCGGGAACCAGGGCGGACGTGGGTGGTGGTGGTGGTGGTGGGGAGGGGTCACCTTCTGGAGAAGGTCTTGGCTCTGTTGGGGTCCGGGCTGCCAGGGCTGGAAGACCAACACAAGAGATGGGGGTCAGTCAACCGAAGCATCTGTGCTCGGCTCAGCCTGCAGCTCAGCCTGGTCCGACGGGCTTGTTTCTTCATCCAGCAGAGCCCCACGCTTACTGCGACCCTCCTGGGGCCAGGGCCTGCTCCACAAAATAGTCCGGGTCCCTCCCTGCAAAGTCCACTCCCTAGCCATGTAGACAGACAGCAAGCAGATGGTACAAGAGGAGCCTTCCGTCCAGGGGAAGCCGAGCAGCCCTCCAATTTGGGGGGGGGGGGGGCTGTCTGAAGAGTCACAGCCCATTTGAGAAGTACAGGGTGAGCTGGAGTTGACAGAGCAGGAAGGAGAGTTCTAGCAAAGAGAAGACGGGGCCAAAAGAGACAGCACGGCAGGCCCAGGTTTGATCCCCGGCAACCCATTTGGTTCCCTGAGCCTGGCCAGGAGTGATTCCCTGGTCCAGAGCTAGGAGTATGTCCTGAGCACCGCTGGGTATGGCCTCCTTCGCTTTAAGAAACAAAGAGAGAAGAGCATCTGGAGATAAGAGAGAGATACCAGACAGAGAAGTATCTTGCATGCGGCCAACCCCAGTTCGATCGTGGCGCCACATATGGTTTCCTGGACACCACCAGAAGTGACCTCTGAACACAGAGCCACGAGCTGTCTGAACACACTGGGTGTGTTCCCACTCTCCGCTTGCTCCGACAAACAAACAGAAACCACAAAGAGTAGTGTAAAGAGGCAGAGGAGACGGCCAGCATCTGAGAGACTGGGAGATTTGTGCCAGGTAACATCAAGCGGTCCATGTCTGTCTCCCTCATTGTGCACAGTATCTTGGCATCACATGCCAAGGCCAGGGCTAGGCCATGGGCCTGCCCAGGAGCAAGGACACCAACAGGGCACAAGGAGAACTGCCCAGCGGATGGGCAGCCGGCTAGGTTCCGACATCATTGTTCTGCTTCCTATTCCAACCACCCTCAGGTGTCTTCCCTTTAGGGTCCCCGTGAAAGACACTGGAGTGCCGTCATCTGGCTTGGTGGATGCATGTCCTGGAGCGCATGTGAGCACATGTCCAACCCGGGGCAGCAGGAAGGCAGGCTTCGGCGCGTGTGAACTCACCATCCTGAGACAGGAAGGGAGCGCCTGCTTACCTGGCAGGGATCTGGGGGACAAGACGCTTTCGTGTCTACAGATTGGGGGAATGCCCAGGTCGGCGGGGGTGTCAGGAGTGTTCACGCAGCCGTGCCTGTGCCAGCGGCTACGACACCTTTTTCTTCCTGTGGGTCTTAGCAAGTGGCAGGTGAAGGCTGCCACTGCCCTCTGGGCACCAGGGGGCTCAGGGGTGACACACGTATTGGCCTTCTCTTGGGGGGCGGGGCTGGGCTCCCTGGGGAAGGTGACTCTAAGGAAGCATTTATTTTGCTTTTCCGGTGGGGGTGTGGGAGGCTTCACGAGGTTCTCTGCGGGTAAGTCTGGTCCTCTCCGGAGGTCACCCAGTGGTGACATGGACACCGAGAAAGGACATTCCCATGGACTCGCTCTGTTGATTGATGCCTTTTTTCAGAGAGATAGTGTCTAGTGGCTGACTAGGGGCCCTGAAGGCAGCTTACTGTGTGGCCTACGGCTAGTTACAGACCCTCTCTGGGTCACAGTTCCTCTTCCAGAAAGATGCAGGCAAGATCCAAGGCAGGGGCTGAGCTCCCAGCAGAAAAGCACTTGCCTGGCAGGTAGGAGAACCTGGGTTTGATCCCTGACACTGCAAAAATAAGATGGAAAAAGTGGGGTGGAGAGGCCAGGAGATATTTCAAAGGTTTGGAGTACACATTCTGTCTGTGAAAGCCCCGGGTTCTACCCCTAGTACTGCTTTGTCCTCAAAACGACTCACTGGAAACTCCCCCTCCATTGCCAGGTGTGACTCTTTCACCCACAAAATGCCGACAGCAAACAACTTAGAGGACTGTGAAGTCTGTGAGTGTTTATAATCATTTATCTATTTCATGAGAACACCCCATGTTCAAAACATTTTACTTGTATCATTTGTAGTCCTCACTGATAAATGATATTTATGAATAAGACACTATAAATGGCTCTTAAATACAGATGAGAAAAGCAAAGGAAAAAGATTCAGTAGGGGGCCAGAGAGGTAGTACAGGGGGTAAGGCGCTTGCTGTCCATGTGCATGTGGCAACCCTGGTTCAGTTCCCTGAGCACAGAGTTACGAGTAAGCAGCCCCTGAGCAACATCAGGATGGCCCCCCGCCCCACTCCCCCAAGAAAACCCACACAACAAAAAATTCAAACAAAGAACACCAAAAGGTTCAGTAGGGCCAGAGAAATAGCTCAAAGGGCTGGAGCATTTGCCTGGCATGTATGTGGGAGGACTGGGTTCAATCCCTGGCACCACATGGTCCCTGGAGCAGAGAGTGAGAATTAGTTCCTAAGCACCACTGGGTTTGGCTCCCAAACCAGAAACAAACAAAAAAAGTGAAGTTACTTGAGGTCACTCAGCTGGTAAATAAGGGCAGCTGGACTTGAACCCAGGGTCAGTCACCAGGCCCAGTGTGTATGCACCGCTCTACCCAGGCAAAATGAGGTAATGCATGCCATGCAACAGAGTTATCTGAGGCTCACGCTGTTCTCCCGTCCAGCTTCCTGGGCTCCACACCAGAGCCCCAGCACAGGCCCTGTCTTTTCAAGGCCCTTCCCAGGCTGCCAGCCCCTGGGCTCCCCCCAACTCTTCCCACAGCAGCTGCTTGTCACTGCAGGTCTATTCCCCAGCCACCTGCACGCACCTTCCCAAAGCAAAGAGGAAAAGAGAGAGTGCTGACCATGGAGTTAGTGCCTACTGGGACCCCAGAGCTGAGCGAGACCCTGTGGGTACTCCCCTTGAACCTCATTTGAACACCGAGAGACACAGTTTAAAAAATTTGGTGGTGGGGGGGCTGGGGCTGGAGAGATAGCACAGCGGGTAGGGCATTTGCCTTGCACGCGGCCGATCCAGGTTTGATTCCAGGCATCCCATATGGTCCCCTGAGCACTGCCAGGGGTGATTCCTGAGTGCATGAGCCAGGAGTAACCCCTGTGCATCACTGGGTGTGACCCATAAAGCAAATATAAATAAATAAATAAATAAAGCACTCCATCGCTAAGCCACAATCCAGCCCAGGAGGTAGATTCTTATTCCCATTACACAGCTAAGACCATGGAAATGTAACCCCACAAGGTGAGGTTGTTGCCCAGGGTTGTAGAGCTACTACATGGTTGGGCAGAATTGGAGCCCAGGACGTTCCTCTCCGGGGCCCAGGAGCCTGGGCGTGTGAGCACGAAGCTTGGAGGCTGAGGGTGGGGCATGTTTGTTGCCATTCTCCTAGCACCTGTGAGGGCTCTGGGTGTTGCAAAGTAAACTGGTAGGCGGCTGTCTGTCTACACCTAGGCAAATCACACCCATCAGGGAGGAGAGCGGCTCCACAAGTCGGTCCCTACTTCCCAAGCACAGGGAGCCTGGGAGGAGGGAGAGCGTGAGGCTCAGAAGGACTGGGCCCGTGTGCTATCAGAAGCCGAGCGGAAAGGCCTTGGGCTCCAGAGGTGGATAGGCCTGAGCGGAGAACCAGGGCTCATTCTGTGACCCAGGGCAAGCCCAGACGACACTGAGCCTCAGTGTCCTCCTCCAGTTGCTGGGAAAGGAAGTATATCACCTTTGACCCTAGAAGGGCACAGAAGCAGGGCCGACCTGGAAGCATTTGTCCCTTCTCCCCAACTTGGTCACATGTGTCAGGCCGTCACCCATTGCTCTATGACACAGATCTTCTCAAGATCACGCAAGGCCTCTGCGTTGCTAAATCCAGCAGCTGAGAAATCAACCCTTGATTTTTTTTATTTTTATTTATTTATTTATTTATTTATTTTGCTTTTTGGGTCACACACAGCGATGCACAGGAGTTACTCCTGGCTCTGCACTCAGAAATCACTCCTGGCGGTGCTCAGGGGACCATATGGGATGCTGGGAATCGAACCTGGTCAGTTGCGTGCAAGGCAAACGCCCTACTGGCTGTGCTATCTCTCCAGCCCCGATTTTTTTTTTTTTTTGCTGGCTTGGGGGCCACACTTGGCGATTCTCAGGGGTCACTCTGGGTGCTGCTTGGGGCAGATTGAACCTGGGGCCTGCAGGGAAACATGTGCCCTAACCCTCTGCGCCAGTCCCCCCGCCCTGGACCCCTGTCCTGCAAAATCATCATCCACCTGCGACGCAGGCCTCCCCTCTGGCTTCCTGGGGCACTTTCTTCGCGTGCTGCGGCAAACAACACCCTCTTCTCTGGCGCTGCCTCTGCCGTGCTGGCCGGGACGTCAATCCTCCTAACTGGTCCCTCCTTAACTTCCTAATTTCTCAGCGCTAGGATGCCCGAGGGCTCAGTGGAGCACCTCATCTTTCCTGTCTCCACACACTCCCTGGGTGACCTCATCCAGACTCATGGTTTTAAATACCACTGCTCTGCTGATGACAACCAAATCTCGATCTCCAACCCAGGCCTCTCCCTTGAGTTCCAGTTTCGCTCATGCAACTCCCTCCTCGGCACCCAGGGGTTGCCTTACAGACAGCCTCCGATCTTACACGTCCGCAGCTGAGCTCCTGGTCTTTCCCCTGCAAGTCTGATCCTCCCCCTAGTTTCACCTTCTCCCTCAATGGCAGCCCTGTCCTTCCAGTTTCTCAGGCCCCAAACCTCCGGGTCTTTTTAGAATCTTTGCGTATCTCACACCCCACATCTAATCTCTCCATCAATCTTTTTGGCTTGGTGTGTAGAACACATCCTGAATCCAGCCCTGTGTCGAGTGCTGCTTCCAGCACTCTCGCCTCTTTCATGCACGAAAAGGACCTCCTGCTGCCTTTAAAGTAAATCAAATCGGGGCCGGAGAGAAAGTACTGAGGTTAAGGCATTTGCCTTGCATGCGGTCGACCCGAGTTTGATCCCTGGCACCCCATATGGTACCCAGAGCCTCGCGAGGAAT